GGGGGGGCAAAGAAAATGACCATTCTTCATTTAATTTCAGTGTGGATTACCTATTTTTAGGATGAACATTGGAACAAAACCTAAGAACAAAGCAAAAGCCATTGCACATTGCTAAACTGCTGTTACTGGCAATTAAGGACATTTTTTCTTAATGTGTTTGGAAAGGGGGGGAGGGGGGCGGGAAGCTGGCCTGTGAATTTTAAGTAGCAAAATGAAAACAAGCTGGTTGTTGCTAGGAAAACTCAGGTTTCCTTTGCCCCATTTTTTTTTTGACTTGCATTCCTATAACTCTGAAATCCTATTACAAGATCATTTTTTAAAATTAGTTCCAATAGTGCAGCATGCATATCTTGCTACAAGTTTCCAGCTACTTTCTGAAACAATAATAACAATCTGAATATGAATGAGCCCAGAACCAAAAAAATCTTTTTTTGTTTGTTTGTTTGTTTAAAACTAGGCAGACTTCAGGTGCACAGAGTCTTGATTGTTCCTGCAAATCTATATCATTCTATTTAAAAATATTTTAAAGTGACAGTCATTTGTGCTTTTTCCTGTTGGAAGAAATGTCCATCTGGATTCAGTTCCAAGTGGGGAGAAAGACAATGGAATCATGGAGACTGCTTGAAAAGATGGTTTAATGCTGGACAGGACCACATGGTTTTGAGGTCCTGAACAAAAAAGGCACATGGGTGAGATAGATAGATAGATAGATAGATAGATAGATAGATAGATAGATAGATAGATAGATGATAGATAGATAGATTTATACCCTCTGTTGGGCTTTGAATTTGAACTTGTGTTCTGATTGGTTGTCAGACTCTCATGGGGCCATGCAGGGGTACCTTTGTAGATTATCTGTGTCCCAGGCTTGGTTGAGCCTTGCTGGGTGATGATGTAATGAATGGGCTTTGGGCAATTCCTATTATGGCTCTGCTTGAAGGAGGTAGATCTTTGTTGTGTAGAATAGACTGGCCCAGGTCTTTTTTCCCCTAATGCTTGTAATGTCCATAATTTTACTTCCCAGAAATTAAATCTAATGATCCTTGTCACAGTTGAGAATGGGAACTAGGATTACTGATGGGATCCAAGTTAAAGCAACTGTCCATATCTCCCAGAAAACACTTTTATGTCTTGATATGGCATACTGGTATGTGAGAAAGACCTTGAAGGGTGGAAGAAATGCTGCCTAGGGAATGGTCAGATAAGCAAAGGCATACGCTCTCACAGAGTAGGACTACTCATAGTACCATCATTAAAACAATGTCGTCTAGTAGTTCCAAGGGAGAGAGCCTTCTCTGTGGGGGCACCTACTCTTTGGAACAAAATACCCCCTGGAATACAAATAATCCCAGATCTTTGCACTTTCCAACGTGCCCTGAAGACCTTTCTGTTTCAACAAGCAGGGCTAGCATAAACATCTAAATTCTATGCCAAGGTCTTAGCAGATACACCAAGTTGACTCAATTTATTATTTACTGTTTATTAAAAAAAAAAAAATGTATATGAAATCTTAATCTGTTCACCGCCCTGAGTCCTTCGGGAGAAGGGCGATATAGAAATTCAATCAATCAATCAATCAATCAATCAATCAATCAATCAATCAATCAATCAATAAATATCCTGCAGCTGCATAATCGATGGAGAAAGATTCTCAGAAGGGACACTCCCTAACTTCACAGACTATAAAGGAGACAATGGGAGATTTGTACTTTCAGACTTGCAAGATTCTGTTAATATAGCCTTACAATAAAGTAGAATTAAATCATCTGGTCAAGGTTAGTTAGAACCACCTTGGTAAGATCATACTTGGAATATTGCATCCAGTTTTGGTCACCACAATATAAAAAAGATATTTAGACTCTAGAACAGGGGTGTCAAACTCAAGGCCTGTGGGACGGATACAGCCCATGGGGTGCTTAGATCTAGCCCGTAGGGCACCCTGGAAACAGCAAAGGACTGGCCTGTGGTGCCTTTGCCAGTGAAAGTGGAGCTCAGGAGGGGCCATGTGCAGCCCTCCCAGGCTCCGTTTTCAGCCGTGATGTCCTTCTGCGGCCCTCTGCCAGCGAAAATGGAACTCCATTTTCGCTGGTAGAGGGCTGCAGGAGGTCGTCACAGCTGAAAACGGAGCCTCGATGAATGACATCGAGCTGGCCATGCCCACCCTGGCCATGCCCATGCCAGCCACACCCTCCCCCGGCCCCCCGAGGTCAAACACAACCCTGATGTGGCCCTCAATGAAATCAAGTTTGACACCCCTGCTCTAGAAGGAGTGCAGAGAAGAGCAACAAAGATGATTAGGGGGCTGTAGGCTAAAAATACAAAGAACGGTTGCAGGAATTGGGTATGTCTAGTTCAGAGGTCTGCAACCTTAAATACTCAAAGAGCCATTTGGACCCGTTTCCCACAGAAAAGAAAACACCGGGAGCCACAAAACCCTTCCCGTGCCTGACTATTTCTTGAGCGGCCACAAAACTGGCATATGTAGCTGAATTAAACATTCTGTTTTCTTCTGAAACTTTTCTTTTCTTGGATTTATCCATGATTGGCCTACCGGGGGTTGAAAAGTTTGATAAATCGTGTGCTGCCGGGTGTCACACATCGGCAGTTGTGACACATAGTTTGAGTGACAGGGAGCCGCAGCAGAGGGGTGAAAGAGCCACATGTGGCTCCAGAGCTGCAGGTTGCTGACCCCTGGTCTAGTTTAATGAAAAGATGGACTAGGAGGGACATGATAGCAGTGTTACAATAGCTAGGGGGTTGCCACAAAGAAGTCAACCCATTCTTCAGAACACCTGAAGGCAGGACAAGAAGCCATGGATGGAAACTAAACAAGGAGAGAACCAACCTAGAACGAGGGAGGAATTTCCTGACTGAACAATTAATCAGTGTCTTGCATCCAGAAATCGTGGGTGCTCCCACACTGGAGATTTTTAAGAAGAGATTGGACAACCACCTGTCTGAAATAGTATAGGGTTTCCTGCTTGAGCAGAAGGTTTGACAAGAAGACATTTAAGGTCCCTTCTAACTCTCTTATTCTGTTATTTCCTGCTGATCTACCTGGGAAGGTTGATGTGATGAGACAGGAGCGTCCAGTAAAGTTAAAAGCCAATAAAATTTTGTTGGATTAAAGACAAACAAGACAAGAAACACAGCTGGACCAAAATTCATTATCACCATCCCCTATTCCAGTGTAAGATGCTGGTCATTGAGGAAGCAGAGAACAAAAGAAAAAGATGGATGAGTCTCATAATGGACTCTGTTAAACAGCATTGCAAAGGACTTAAAGAGGGTTTTTCAATCCTAAGGTGCAGTTTATTTAATTTCTCATTTTCACCCTTTCCTCTTAATTTATTATTATTTTATTTATTTATTTATTAATCAAATTTCTATACCGCCCTACTCCCGAAGGACTCAGGGCGGTGAACAGCCAAGATAAAATACAGACAATACAAATATTAAAAATCCCTTAAAATTATTAAATATTTCGGCCGAAACACAGATTAAAACACCCAATTTATAAAATCACGAATTAAAAAATTTAAAATTTAAGAATTTAAAAGAGGGGAGTTAGGCCAGGCCAGCTTGTTGAAATAGAAAAGTTTTGAGAGCACGGCGAAACGTGCGCAGGTCCGGGATCTTCCGTATCTCTGGGGGGAGCTCGTTCCAGATGGTAGGTGCCCCCACAGAGAAGGCTCTCCTTAATGATCAAATGCCAAGATGATATCCTTGTTTTGATACTAGAACATGCTGGAAGTTCAGACTGGACCTGAACAGACCAATGCTACTGACTTCTCCTCCGGTTGCTAAGGAAACTGAGTTCGTACGAATGGGCTAAGCCCAGTACGATGCTTTTCACACTCAACCTTTGGAACAAATCCATAAAGCAGAAGTCTACAAAGGAGGAGGAGGAGGAGAAAGAAAAACAAACATACAAACAAAATGATTACATCTCTAACAAGAAGAAGATGCATAAGAGCTTTGGCATCCTGGCTTCCATCAGGACTCCATTCCTCTGTATTTTCTGGGGGTTTTTTTCTTCAGTTTTTTTAATTTTTGTTTTAATAGAGTGCAGCATGGTTCAGTGGTCAAGAGACTGGATTCACACTGGAGAAACCCAGTTCAAGGGTATGCAATTTAGGCTCTAGAAAGTGTGTAGAAAAGAGCAACAAAGATGATAAGGAGGCTAAACCAGTGGTGGATTCCTCTTGGTTTGGCCCGGTTCGGCCGAACCGGTAGCGGTGACGATATGACGTCACCGAACTGGTTCTCTTTGTTTGGGAGCTGGGCCTTCCCGCTCCCCTCTCCGCATTATTCTTACCTTTTATTTGGCCCCGCCCCCAATCTATTCACTGCCTCCTGAGTCCCAGCTGATCGGCTAGAAGAAAAAAAACTGTTTAAATTCTTGCCATGGGGCTTCAAAGGGCCGCCCTACAGCTGATCAGTGTTAAAAAGCAGTGTGGTGGTAGACCAGTGCTCTTGAAAAACAAATGGGTAGACTGGAGCCTCCAAAAACAAATGAGTAGACCGGTGCCTCCAAAAACAAATGAGTAGACCGCAACGCTCCAAGAACAAATGGGTAGACCGGTACAGCTCTGCAAGCAATTAAAAGCCTGATAGATCAGTACCTAAATCCTAAAGAATTGTCACATGACCATCAAGCCACACCCACAAAATAAGCCATGCCCATAGAACCATTAGTAAAAAATTTTAGAACTCACCCCTGGGCTAAACCATATAATGACTGGCAAAGGGAGATACAGTAGGTATGTTTACCTGTTCTCCTGAACCGTTCCAAACCGTCTGAATATCACCTCTGCTAATAAAGACAAGGCTTCTTCCAATACTTCCAATACTTGGAAGGCTGTCCCAGGAAGAGGGAGTCGATTTATTCTCCAAATCACCTGGACACAGGATAAGAAGCAATGGATGAAAGTTCATCAAGGAAGATCCAACCTAAAACAATTTCCTGAGCAATTTCCCGAGAACAATTAATCAATGGAACAACTTATTTCCTGGAATTGTGGGTGCTCCATCTCTGGAGGTTTTTGAAGAAATTATTGGACAAGCATTTGTCTGAGATGGAATAGGGTCTCCTGTTTGGAGACTAGGAGATGTCCAAGATCGCTTCCAGCCCTGTGATTCTATGACTTTGGGCCAGTGATGGAATTCAATTTTTTTTACTACTGGTTCTGTGGGCGTGGCTTGGTGGGCGTGGCAGGGGAAGGATACTACAAAAACTCCATTCCCACCCCACTCCTGGAAGAAGGATATTGCAAAATCTCCATTCCCACCCCACTCCTGGGGGAAGGATACTGCAAAATCTCCATTCCCACCCCACTCCTGGAGGAAGGATATTGCAAAATCTCCATTCCCACCCCACTCCTGGAGGAAGGATTTTGCAAAATCTCCTTTCCCACCCCACTGCTGGGGGAAGGATACTGCAAAATCTCCATTCCCACCCCGCTCCTGGCGGAAGGAGATTGCAAAATCTCCATTCCCACCCCACTCTGCGGTCAACCAGAGGTGATATTTGCCAGCTCTCTGAACTACTCAAAATTTCTGCTATCGGTTCTCCAGAACCTGTCAGAACCTGCTGAATAGCACCCCTGCTTTGGGCCATTCATTTAGTCTCTCTCAGCTCAATCTGACCTCACAAGATTGTGGTTGTGGGAGAGATGTGTGCCACTGGAGGAAAAATGGAAATACATCTGGTGAATTTAGTGACTGAGGAATCTGCCGCACATTTTAGTTTCAGGGAAGTAGACATTAGGATGGTGACCTATTCCTGAAACTGCTGATATTAACTGTTCCTGATCAGCCATGCCAAAGATCTACTGTACGTTCTGTACCTTGAGCAAGGAATTCAGTTTTGGTGGTCTACAATTCCCACACTCCCCACTCACCCACCCTTCCCATAATTATACAAATAGTCCTTGACTTACAACAGTTTATTTAGTGACGGTTCAAAGTTACAACGGCACTGAAAAAAGTGACTTAGGACCTTTGAAGCATCCCCACGGCCACATGATCAACATTCAGGTGCTTGGCAACTGGTTCATATTTATGACCGTTGCTGTGTCCCGAAGTCACATGATCCCCTTTTGCAACCTTTGGACAAGCAAAATCAATAGGGAAGCGAGATTCACTTAACAACTCTGTTACTAACTTATCTGCTCTCGTGATTCACTTAGTAACTATGGCAAGAAACGTCGTAAAATGGAGCAAAACCCACTGAACGAATGTCTCGTTTGACAACAGAAATGTTGGGCTCCACAGTGGTTGTAAATCAAGGACTACCAGTACAGTGTATAGTTGACTTAATAATTGTATTGTATAGCTAAATAATTGTATAGCTAAGTCTGCAGAGATTCTGTCATCCTGGTCATGGTTGTCCTAAAGGAGAATCTCTACAGACTTTTACCTATACAATTTGGGATGAAAAGCCTTTGAATGGTGTGGGAGTAGGAATGGATTTCCAGAAGAAAAATTGCAAACTACAGGAACCAGGAGCACTACTCAGGGGACCCCAAGGACACAGATCAGAGGTAGGTTTCAGCAGGTTCTGACCAGTTCTGGAGAACCGGTAGCAGAAATTTTGAGTAGTTCAGAGAACCGGTAAATACCACCTCTGACTGGCCCCACCCCCATCTATTCTCTGCCTCCCGAGTCCCAGCTGATCGGGAGGAAATGGGGATTTTGCAGTAACCTTTCCCTGGAGTGAGGTGGGAATGGAGATTTTACAGTATCCTTCCCCTGCCATGCCCACCAAGCCACGCCATGCCCACCAAGCCCACGCCCACAGAACCAGTAGTAAAAAAAAATGAATCCCACCACTGACCCAGATCAACCTCCAAGTGGCCTCAACGACTCTCTGAAAGGAAGCAAATGACCAGCTGTCTGCAAGGAATATAAATCCTTCCATTCCCCACTATTCTGTCAGAGCTGAAGAAGCTTCTTGGATGAGAAGTAAAACGTCTTCAAAGAAAAAAAACAAGAAAGTCCAGTTGCCTCCTGAAAAAGCACCTTTGGGACAACCATGACCTGGATGATTGAGAATCTCTACAGACTTTAAACAATTTGGAGATGTCACATATGCATAGTGACATTGAATGCGGAATTCTCTGAGTCTGGCATGTATTTTAGGCTACCTGGAAGGACACCGATCCTCATATCTGTAGAACAGCAAGTGGCAAGAATCTTGCTGTAATCAGAGCTGCAAAGGGGCATATTTCAATTCGTTCTGTGCTCCATTATTTTTCTTAAGCTTCCGTCAACTTCGTTCTATTTTTGCATCCATCTAAATTTTTTCTGAAGTTCATATAAAATTCACAGGCGTTTCCATTTACCTCTCTTCTGTGATATATGCCCTTTTTTTTGACGGTGTCCTTTCCTTAAAGACCTGCGCTTTGGAAAATATGTCATCGGTAATATGATAGAGTTTTGTTCGTTTTCTCGGGACTCGTCGGCAGAATTTTATGCACACTTTGATCTCTGATGCAAAGCTTTGTATGGCTTTTTTTTTTGGACAAGCCTGCACTAAGGGAAGGGCATTTACTGCCCTTGAAGTACTTCTGAACTATAGAGCTCTTTTTTGGTTAACTGTCGGCAATGCTGGTTGGACGGATTAAAAAATGAAGCTCAGAAAAATCTACATGGTTGTCCGTTTCAGCCCCTGAGATTGATCTCAAAGACATATCATTAAAGTTGGAAGAGGCCATTTAGCCAACACATCTAATTCCTACTTAGGGTATGAATCTGAATTAAAGCATCCCAGATGGATGGATGACTGTCTTCCAATGAACACATCCAATGAAAGGGCCCCATCATCACCCTTCTAGATCAGGGGCCTCCAAAGTTGACAACTTTTAAGACTTTAAGCATGGCTGGCTGAGGAATTCTGGGAGTTGAAGTCCACAAAGTCTACAAATTGCCAAGTTTGGAGATCCCTGATCTGGATTATTGGCTCCGCTGTCAACTGAAAGGTTTTTTTTTTTAATGCTTCATTTGGATCTTCCCTTCTTGTCTTCTCAAAAATTGCCTATTTTACTTTATTCCCTATTCCATGCACTCTGAGCGTGATCTTCTTCTGGAGGCTTGCAAGAGCTTCCATTGCTGGAGGCTAGTCTAATATTTATTTCCTTATTAAATTTATATGCCACCTGTCTCATTGTCCAATGTGTCTCTGGGCAGTTTACAATGGCATAAAGGCATACCGCTAATTATTGTTGGAAGAAATACCCTTCTGGGTTCAGTTCTTGGAACTGAATCAGATGGATATTTCTTCCAACAATGTCTTCAAGGAAAAACAAAGTCTAGTTGCCTTTGGGATGTTTGGGCTACCCTCTGAAACATGGTGCCCAGTGGTGGGATTCAGCCGGTTCGGGCAAACCAGTTGTTAAATTGCTGGTTGGCTCCAGCCCTCCCTGCCCCGCCTCTCCCAAAAGTCCCCACCCCATTTTTGCTCCCAGGTAAGTGCAGGGAGGCCTATTAGGCCCAAAAAGGGATGGGGCTGGGTGCCCCCCCCCGGTGGGGCACCCACTGTGGCCCATTTTTGCTCCCAGGTGGGTGCAAGAGGCCAAGTGCTGCCTGTCACACCCCCTGGCCAAGCCCACCATAGCCACGCCCACCCAGCTGGTCATTAGGGCAGAAAACCAGTTGTTAAATTATTTTAATCCCACCACTGATTCTGCCCCCTGAAGACTTGGCTCTGCCAGTTGACCTGGAGCCCCAATAGGGGTACCACATACTGGAGATGGCTGACGGATTAAGACAAGGCCTCACCTCCCTCCCTGCACATTTTGCTCCTTCCTCCCCATCTTTTTAATTGTAAATTATTATGGTTCATCACAACCAGATATTCAGATTAGATTTGGCATTTTTATCCACCTATCAAGTCCTTCCCAAGGGCCTGAGATAGGCAGATGTGGAGGTTTTGGTGTTTCTTTATTATTTCAATATTTTATTGCCTTTTAATATTATAAACTGCCCAGAGTTGCCTGTAGGTGAGATGGGGAGCAAACAAGTCTAACACATAAGTATAATTAAATTTGACAACAAATAGAATAGAATAGAATAGAATAGAATAGAATAGAATAGAATAGAACAGAACAGAACAGAACAGAACAGAACAGAACAGAACAGAACAGAATTCTTTATTGGCCAAGTGTGATTGGACACACAAGGAATTTGTCTTGGTGCATACGCTATCAGTGTACATAAAAGAAAAGATACATTCGTCAAGAATCATAAGGTACAACACTTAATGATAGTCATAGGGAACATATAAGCAATCAAATCATATTAGGAAACAGTCAATATAAATCTTAAGAATACCAGCAACAAGGTTACAGTCATACAGTCATAAGTGGGAGGAGATGGGTGATAGGAACATTGAGAAGATTAATAGTAAATTAAATAAATGTTTGCCATTCAGAAATACTACAAGAGCTGCACAGTTCACATGATAGAGGATTCTGCAACATTGGTCTGAGAGACTTAGCAAAACAATGCTGGCTTGTTTACTTCCATGCTTGCTTGCCTAGCAATAAGGCAGAACACTAGAGTTGATGCCGCGGGAGCATCAGAATTATCAAGCAATCTTCTAGTCCTCATGTTCTTAGTGTTATTTTTCTGCCTCTCCCACAGGCAAGTGCCGCCTTAATGAAAGTAGCTGCTTGGTAGGGCAAAATGTGATTTGCACTCTCAAAAGAACATTATCCTGGGGACTTCCAGTCAATTTATTTTCCATGCCTAAGAAGTGAACTGAATGACGGGCCAATTTTCTACAAGAATATTGTATAATTCAAATTACTCTGGGAATGTAAAATACATTTCAGACCCGCTGAATGACTTTAGATAAATGTTAAGACTTTCCATACATTTATTTCCATTCCTACTCACT